CCATGCCAGCAGCAGGCTCTGAGAGAGGTGGAGAGCTCAGTTTAGAAAAATTCTGCAGTTGAGTCATCTCAACAGAGGCTGTGTCTAGACTGCAGGCGTCTTTCGAAAGAAGCTTTTCTGGAAGAGATCTTCTGAAAAAACTTCTTCCAAAAGAGAATGTTCTCACTGTCAAAGCGCATCAAAAAAGTGATCTGATTTTTCGAAAGATAGCGTTCAATCAGTGTGGACGCTCTCTCGCATAGGAGGCCACCTGGAACCAGTTCAGCCAAGGCTTTAGGTCACCAGTTGCTTCCGAATGCTGGTGCTGAAGCCTAGCTGAGATGTGCGCACAGCTGTTTTTCTCCTTCTGCTGCGTGTTTGCCTATCTCTTTGAGGGACAGCAAAGCTCTTGCAGTCCCTGTTGTGGTTGCCACAGCTTTTGTCTTGTGCCATGGAGCCGGTGCTGCCCCTGGGCAGATCATGGCCCCACATAGCCATGCTGCAGTTTCTACAGCATTTTGGGGAGGCTGCCTTCCTGGGTTTGCACAAGCTCGACTCTGAGTTCATTCCTGAGACCCTCTCCCTGTGTGCGGGAGCAAGACCCATGCAACCACACACCACAGTGGAGAGGCGTTTCTGGAGGCTGAATAGCAGTTCCAACTGGTGGGACCGGCTGGTCATGGAGCGGTGGGAGGACCAGCAGTGGCTCTGAAACTTCCACATGCGGAAGACCACAATCCTGGAGCTATGTGCCTGGCTCACCCCTGCCCTCCAATGACAGGACACCCACTTGCGGCCCGCCATCCCCCTGGAGAAGCAGGTCGCTATTGCCCTTTAGAAGCTTGCCACCCCCGACAGTTACCGCTCAGTGGGACACCAGTTCGGCGTGGGGAGATCCACCATTGGGGCCATCTTGATGGAGGTAAGGCACTCTTGGGAGACAGTCCCTGTGGGAGGGGGAGATAGAAAAAGGGGATTGTCAGAAAAGGGCAGGAGGAGTGCGAGGTGGAGTGGTAGGGGGGTCCTGGCTTCATCCAGCCCTGCTGCTAGGAGGGCAGCCTGAGGGCGGTGGCTCATGTGGTCTTTGGGGGGGAGGTGAGGGTGGCGGGCATTTCCCAAGGGCTCAGGCATCATCTCTAATTCCCTGTTTTGTGTGTTTCTCCATGTGTCCTTCTGCAGGTGGTGAGGGCCATCAACTCAAAGCTGCTGCACAGGATCGTCTGCCTCAGAGACCTGAACACCATCATTGTGGGGTGGCTTGTGGGGTGTTTGTGGGGGAAAGGGGAGGGGAGGATGAGGAGGGGCACCTCCCAAGGGCTCAGGCACCCCCTCTCAACCTCTGTTTTGTGTGAGTGTTTGTCTCCATCTGCAGGTGGTGAGGGCCATCAACTCCATCCTGCTGCACAGGGTCATCCACCTGGGAGACGTGGACCCGATCAAGGCTGGATTTACTGCCCTGGGGTTCCTGAACTGCAGTGGGATCCATAGATGGGACCCACATCCCAATCAGAGCACCTCAACATCGAGTGGCCCAGTACATCAACCGCAAGGGCTGTTTTTCAATGGCGCTGCAGGCCCCGACCATGGACATTTTACTGACATTTTTGTCAAGTGGATGGGCAGGGCACACGATGCCCGTGTGTTTCATAACTTGAGCCTCTACGGCGAGCTGGAGGCAGGCACATTCTTCCCTCGCCGGGACTTTGCGGTTGGGGATGTGCAGATGCCACGATGAATCGTGGGGGAGGCAGCCTACCCTCTCATGCCATGGCTTATGAAACCCTATATTGGCCACCTGGCCCCCAGCAACTTCCACCTCAGCTGAGTGAGGATTCAGGTGGAGTGCACCTTCAGCCACCTCAAGGCGCATTTCAGGTATCTTCTGACCCACCTTGATGTGGGGGAACACAACATCCCCAGGGTCATCTCAATATGTTGTGGAGAAAAAGGGGGAGGCCTTACTTCTAAGGTGGGGGGCAGAGGCTGGCCATGAGGGAGACCCTTTGACCAGCCGGGGACAGCTGCCATTTGCCAGGCCCATCAAACCGGGGTACGCATCCGGGAGGCCCCGAGGGAGAGTTTCTCTCCAGGACCCCAGTAACTCTCCCCAGGGCTCCCAACTAGGGGCCTGTGACTTGGTCCAATATCCTTTTCCCACCACAACTTCTCCCTTCATCCTTTCCCTGACCTGGGAATAAACACAGCTGTTTTGATTTCAACACAATGCACTTTGTATTTGTCTTTAAAAAAAACACTGGGGAGGGGGTCTCATAACCTGGAGGGGGGCTCAGGGCTGGGAGTGGCATGGGGGATGTCTGGATGTGCCACCTCGGGTGCGGGGACCTTGTCGAACTTGGGGTTGGGTGGGTCCTGGGACCACAGGAAGATAGGCAGGAGGGGGGTGGAGTGGGGTCAGGGATGGCAGGAGGGGCTGGGAGAGGGGAGGGGGCATGGGCATCACTTGAGGAGGGAGTAGAGGCATCGCTTGGGAGGCAGAGGGAGAGGGAATGGGCATAGCAGGGAGGGCAGGAGCAGCAACAGCAGTCGGGTGTGCCATCATTTCCTGCATGATGGCACACGTTATCTCCCTGGTCCCACTGTGGGTTGGCCAGTCTGCGTCCTCCCGGACCTTCTGTGCCAGAGTCAGCTGCATGTCGCGCAGGACGCCCACATGCTGCCTCATCAGCTCTTCCTGGACCCTGGAGCTGGGAGAGGGGAGGGGGCATGGGCATCACTTGAGGAGGGAGTAGAGGCATCGCTTGGGAGGCAGAGGGAGAGGGAATGGGCATAGCAGGGAGGGCAGGAGCAGCAACAGCAGTCGGGTGTGCCATCATTTCCTGCATGATGGCACACGTTATCTCCCTGGTCCCACTGTGGGTTGGCCAGTCTGCGTCCTCCCGGACCTTCTGTGCCAGAGTCAGCTGCATGTCGCGCAGGACGCCCACATGCTGCCTCATCAGCTCTTCCTGGACCCTGGAGCACTTTCAGGTCCCCCGGGCTCTGGCGGCTGGCTGTGGTGGCAGGTCTCACCCCTTAATCCCATCTGGTCCAGCTAGGGAGAACACAAAGAGGGAGAGGGGGTCAGTCATCCGCACAGACACTGTTCCTGAGGCCGTGCCCTCCTCTGTGAGAGACGCCCACATGCTGCCTCATCAGCTCTTCCTGGACCCTGGAGCACTTTCAGGTCCCCCGGGCTCTGGCGGCTGGCTGTGGTGGCAGGTCTCACCCCTTAATCCCATCTGGTCCAGCTGGGGAGAACACAAAGAGGGAGAGGGGGTCAGTCATCCGCACAGACACTGTTCCTGAGGCCGTGCCCTCCTCTGTGAGCAGCGACCAACAGTCCTCGGGCCAGAGGACAGCAGGCCCTGCCTCACAAGGGCCCCAAGGTGCCACGGGAACCAGGCTTCTCGCTCTGCTCCCCCATGGACAGGCAGGCAAGGGAAGTGTCTGGTCACAGCAGGACCCCATGGGCAGCAGAGGAGCTGGGAGCAGCCTGGCCCTCCCTGGGGCCCACACACACACCTGTGCCTTGCAGCGCTGCCAGCTGGCGCAGGGGGTGCCTTGCACGTGCAGGCATGCCCGTGTGCTGTGTGCGGTACTCCTCTGTGTATGTGTGGCTTCCCCTGCGCCCGAGCAGAAGCCTGGGTAGGCTCAGGGGCTACCTGCTGAGTCCGCAAGGCACGCAATAACGCTGCACGTGGTTCCACGTGCACGGACTGCAGCATGATGTCCAGCCCAAGCAGGCCAAGCGACGCTCATACGCCTCCCCCTCTGCGCCCGCCTCCCCCGCCCCGTGTGACAAACTGAGAGCACTCACCTGAAGATCCCTCCCTAGCGTCAGATGATGCCTGGCACACATCCAGTCTCACGACAACCGGCTCCAGGAACAGCGTCACAGTGGCTGAGTCATTCTCCTCCTTCTGCTGCCCCTGCTGTCCGTCATCCTCCTCCTCCTCTGCGACCTCCGGCCGGGTGACAACAGGCATCTCCAGCCCGGAATCCATGAGGATGAGTGGGGAAAGGGCATCCCCACTCCCAGGATCTGGTGCAGCTCTGCGTAATAGGGGCAGGTGTGGGGTCCTACCCCGGAGCATGAGTTGTGCTCTCTGGCCCTCGCATATCCCTGGCGGAGCTCCTTCACCTTAATCCGGGGAGTAAGGTGAAGGAGGTCCGGGATGGGTGTCTCTGCTCCGCCAGGGCCTTGGCTATCTTGCCATAAATGTCCGCATTCAGGCTTTTGGAGTGGAAATCCTGTAGGGTCTCCTCCTCCCTTCACAGCTCAAGGAGGGACAGGATCTCCACTCCAGACCAAGAGGGTGCCCATCACATGCTACCTCTTGGTGGGTCCTGGGAGCCTTGGTCATGCTCCCTGCAAGGACCAGGGAGGTTTCAGGGGGCTTGTGGCTGTGCCATTGGTCAGCAGGCCTGTGGCAGGGAAAGCCGCACAGCCAGGATGCTGCTCCAGGGCTGGCTTCCTGCCACAAGGCTTGTCCAGGGTGCCTGCAGCTTTAAGAGGGGCCGGGAGACAGGAACTATAGAGTTGTGATTACTTTAGACGGAGTGGCCATCAGGGCCCCTGTGTTATTTCCTGGAGGCCTCTTCTTCAGAAAAAAACCTCTCTTCCCTGTCCACACATGTCTTTTTCCAAAATAAGCTCTTGAAAGTAGGAATAAGGGATCTTCCGGAAAAGGGCTTATTTTCCGCAAGATCCCGTCTAGACTGGCGCTTTTCTCCGGCAAAACTCCGAGCCGGAAAAAAGTGGCAGCCACGTTCATGCAAATGCTGCATGGGATATTTAAATCCCCCGCGGAATTTGCAATTCCGAAGTGTCTCATTAGCATCCCTTTTCCGGAAAGGGGTGCCAATGTAGACACAGCCTCAGTGTGGAAGATAATGGTACTCCTTCTACTCTGAATTATTTGTTTAACTTTTATTCTGACCAAAACAATTCAGGGGATTTGACATGAATTTGTGAAATGTTCAGGGCCAC